GTATAATATCGGACCTCCCTTTTTTGAAATGTATTGTAAGGATTACCAAGTTTTGAAAGGGTAATACACATTTGTAATGTTTTACAGAGACTATACATAGTTATTATTTCTTAATAATAATAATTTCCCCTTACATCCATTCATTATTAAAATAACAAAAATCAATTATATTAAAATATTTGTACGATACATCATTATCTACAATAATTAAGGAAAATAAACCGAAACACATACATAGTGCAGCCTGCATCAATATTTGTGCAGAGAGTGAGTGAGAGTGTCCGTGTCTGCTGTGATGCGAATACGAGTAGGTAGAGGTTGGGATCGGACCAGACTCGAGCAGCGAACGAGTGCATTACGGGTGTCGATTGCCAGGCCCATCCCTTGACCAGATCCAGACGGACCACCCGAAAGCGAGGGCATTGAGAGGCTCAACAGTTATGACTGCATCTGCGGTTGACCCGTCCTTGCAAGCACACCGCATCACCCATCTCAAAATCACCAAAGTCTGCCATCTCCACTTCGCGCACGCTACTGCATGTCGTGTGCGGATATCCTAACGGGCAGCCATACAGTGAACTATCGGCGGAGAGCGAGTCGAATTCGCTGTAGTCGTCAGAATCGGCGGTAGATGCTGATGAAGAGACACTCACAGTACTTGTAGTGTATGATGAGCTGCCTCTTGCCTCGTTCTTTTCCCAACGGCATCCGCAATGGAAGAGGAAGGATGTGTTCTCGGGCCGTTTGATGTAGTCTTCAACACCACACTTTGGTCGTCGCTCGGTCCCTGCAAGTTGAATTGCGTGCGTGTGTGAATTGAGGTCGAGCAGGTTGTGGAGGCTGAGGCTGTGCCTGTGAGACGAGTTTAGAGTGATTAGCGAGTGAAAATAAGAGAGAAAAGGTGGACGCACCGTGACAGCGTGCAGCGAGTGTAAGTGGTGCACCGAGGTTGGGATCCGGAGCGTTGAACAAGCTGATTTGAGCAGCAAGCGAAGCCATGTCTGTACGTGCACATCACATGCACCTCCAATTGCGAGACGTAGTCAGAGCAGAGAACTTAGTCGTCGTGTGTGGTTGCAAAGGTGTATCTCTGGGACGTTCTGGCTCGAAGGGAGAGGGTGAAGTGGGTGATGTGAACGGACTCGGCTCGGGAGGGGTAAGCGATAGCTACTGCTTACCTTATTCGAAATGGTGTCATGGACGGCACTGAGGAATGTAAATGTGTGTGGGGCAAACCTGTCAAGAGTAATGTCAAACATGGAATGTACGAAGGAGTAGAACACGTACAGCGTTGGGGAGAGGGTGGTACAATAGGAGTGGTCGTACATGAACATTGTTGCGAGTATGCTCGCGTGTGCTCGTCAATTCTTACTTGCACTGCAGAGTGGGAAGAAGTACACGAATGCATGGAGTTATTGGAGAAGTTGTTCGGCATTGGTCAACAATACGGATGTGCGAATGTGAATTCAAAAAGGGAGACGAACGTAAAAAAAAGGAGGACAACGAAGGAGAGGCAGAGTAAGAGGCGGAGCGAGGAGCAGAAGGGATGGAAGGGAGGGAGAGGGATGAGCAGCTATTGTGCAGGCTATTATGAGGGGACTGGCTGCTTACGCTTTACGCTGAAGGACGGTGTAGCCAGCTGGGTCTTGTCGTCACACGATCTGAGGCTCAGTGCAGGCATTGCAACAACAGATTGGAGAGACGAGTTGTAGCAATGTTTATTGTCTGTGTTGTTGCACTCAGAGTACCTGCTGGAGGACGCTTGCAAGCAGAGGACTGGGCGGGAGAGAACAAAAGCAACAACATAGTGTCAGGGCAGAGGGTTAGACTTAGAGAGAGGGTGGAGGTCAGAGAGAAAGAGTGACAGCTGTAAGAGCGTCATTATATGCTCTCAATCTTCAGCGTTGATTATGTAATCAATGTTCGTGATAGTAGCGAAGCTGTAAAACAAAACCAATATTATATTTAGATACAAAAGGAAAGCACTATTTTACTTTATGATACAGTTGATAGTAATCTGACATGTCTATATTGCTTTTAACACATTGATATAGTTTTTACAAATATCTGAATACCTTATACAAACAATATAAAATCTTTTACAAGGTGAATTTTAGTCTGTCTTCAAAGTTATAATCTAAGTATAATACTTTAGCTTATAATGTAAGGTTATAATAATGTATTCAATGAATTGTAATGATTTATAACACTCTTAGAGTCTTTATATA